AGTGTTCTTTTTGTGAACTTAATTTTGAGTTGGCTGCTTTAGTTTTCTAGTCCTTCTGTTATGCTTGGCTATAGTGTCATGTGATATTAGGTCTCGTATTACATGAGCTTGACTTTTCATTTGCTTCGTCTGATCATGAGAAATAGGCAATTTGACTTGTTACAACATACATGTGTTCGACCAATGTCCTTCTTTGATCGGCAGTCAGTTGGTCATCTTTACCTTGTGGTATGCTTTAGCAAATAGCCCCGAATTAAAAATGAGCAAATTATGAACATCCGTAGTTTGCTTTAAGTTGAATGCAAATTTTTGAAATAAGTTGAGGCGTGCCATGCCAAACAAAAGTGACAATTGCATGGCCCTCGTTTAATTAATTTTGTTTTATCCTTAGAATTTGGGCTGTGTCATTTAGCGAAATTTCTATGGCCCCCGCAAAGTTAACAACGCGTAGTTGCTTTTAGGCGCATTATTTAATAATCTACTTTCCTAAATTCGGGTGCACATTTATGTGACCCAAATCCAAATCTCAACGTTAGATAAAATGTGTTATGGGCTACGAGTGCATTTATGTGATGTGGCCCGAAACATATTTTAAATAGCGTTGCAATATTTCTTAAAATAATAAAAAAAGCGGTTTACGGTCAAAAAGCACATAAGCTAAAACATGTTCTAAAATCAGATAAATCCAAGTATAACAGTTGAGCGACCGTGCTAGAACCACAGAACCCGGGAATGCCTAACACCTTCTCCCGGGTTAACAGAATTCCTTACTCGGATTTCTGATTCGTGGACTGTTAACAGAGTCATAATTTTCTCGGTTCGGGATTCAATCGGTGACTTGGGACACCATTAATCTCCCAAGTGGCGACTCTGAATTTTAATAATAAATCCCGTTCCGATTGTCCTTTAAGTGGAAAAACTCCTTTTATTATACCCTTCACGGGGTGTAGTAGTGAAAAAGGAGGTGTGACAGTCGTGCCATGATTATGAGAGAGTAAAAGCACGAAGGGTGATGCCGTGCACTTGTTATTGTGTTATTAGTTCCGTTGCCTTAAGTTTGATATTTACTTTGTCGCCTTGCTTTATATTGTTATAAGTTGATACCACTCTCAGCATGTTTCCCCTTTACCCTCTTGTTCTGTTTAATTCTTGTTATTATTGCTTCCGGTATATGATTTAATTGCACAGGTTATTTGGTTGTTGTGTCCTAGCCTCGTCACTACTTCCCCGAGGTTAGGCTCGGCACTTACCAGTACATGGGGTCGGTTGAACTGATGCTACATTCTGCACTCTTTTTGTGCAGATCCTAGTACTGGATCCTACGGACCATAGATTGAGGTTGCTGCCTTCAGTCCAGTGGAGACCCGAGGTAGTCCTGCAGGCGTTGGCTGGCCTTGGCGTCCTCTTCTACCATATTTCTATTCTATTTTTATCTATTTCTGAGACAGACTTGCATTTTTCTTGTTCAGACCACTACTTGTAGTATTCCTAGATAGTCCGTGATATTGTGACACCAGTTCTGGGTGGATTTCTATTTTTGGATTTCGTACTAGTAATATATTAAACTGTTAAATTCTATTCTTCCGCATTTTATTCCGCTGTTCATGTTATGTTATCTTGCAAATTGCTGAAAGATAAAAGTAAAAAGGTAAAATAATCAGTAACGTTGGCTTGCCTAGTGGGTTCAATGTTAGGTGCTATCACGGTCCGGACGGTGGGAAATTCGGGTCGTGACAAGATCACATGACATAACACTTCATAAAATCTCAGGAGAGATTCGGGTACCTGAAAATATGAATGAAAAGATCTCTATGTTATGTCTTTATGAAAAAAATATTGGAACCGATATAAAATGTTCGTCGACGACATCTATGATAGCGCTAAATATATATGAGGATCTTAAGTCTAGAGAAACAATTCAAGTAGAATTGGTTTCATATGAAAGACATATAGTTTTGGACCTGCAGTTCAAACACTTGAAAGTATAAAGTCAATGGTGTGTGCAATCACTTTCTCTATCTTATATGTCTTGCATGACATGAAAACTTGATGTAAATCTAAGTTCCGTTTATATGGCTTATATGACTTAACTTATATAACAATCCCTGAAGGATTTAAATTGCTTAAAGCATATAGAATTCTTGGTTGAAGTACTATATCCTAAGTGCAATTTGTGCACATATGTATCTTGCTATAACTATAAGCATGATAATGTGATAGCGATAATTTTTTACCTCTATGGAGATATTGCAAAGGCCATTCCACGGCAGTTTATGAAGATATTACATCTCTATCAAGGATGATGATTTCAAGGTGCAACATATTCATTCAAGTTAATATGGTTGATTTGTTTATCAAATCTCTACCAACGATCTTTTGAAGAAGGTGCGCAAGATTGGAATACGAAGGCTCAAGGTTGTGAATTGATGCTCTCATCAGGGGAGTTAATACGCGTTGTACTCTTTTTCCTTACAAGGTTTTGTCCCACTGGGTTTTTCTTGCAAGGTTTTAAATGAGACAACCAAAAGGCGTATTGTTAGATATGTGTACTCTTTTTCCTTTTCTAGATTTTTTTCCCACTAGGTTTTATTTTAGCTAAGGTTTTAACGAGGCACATTATCTGTTGAATAGACATTCAAGGGGGCGAGTGTTATAAATAGAATTGTATTTAAGATGAATGTCTATATTCTAGAGAGATTTTAGGGTTTGAAACTTGGTGGCTGACTCACTTTTTCCCTACAAATAAAAGGGAGAATTACATCCCTTGTCACTTAGCCCAACAACCCATCAGAAAATGGCCCACGTTTGAAGCCCTTACCCAGTGTAGCCCAGGTTGTACATAACCTGAAAATTACTTTTCACCAGTTAGCCCACCCCTTTTTTCTTCGTTCCCCTTTTTTCTTCGTTCTTCGTTCTTCCTCTCATGTCAGCCTTTGCACCACAAAATTTCTCTACTATTGTTATTCTCCTTCAATTCTTTTCGGATTCCAATGGTTAACTAAGGATTTGAAAAATAAAAGTCACCATTACAGGTGGTTCGAAGATTCGATTTCAGAAATTGAGTTTTCCGATTTGTTAGTTGTTTGGAATTGGTGTTGTCCTAATTGATTGGAATCATCAAGATGAGTTCAAAACTTAAATTTCAAGTGATTTGGAGTAGATTTAGGTTGTATTTGAGTTAAATTTCAGAGGATGCCAAAGGAAGAAGAAGAACACGTGAAGCTCCATTGATAGAATTCATTTGTATAATAATGTATAATATTATATAAATAGTGTATAATAGTGTATAAACACCACTTATAACTATTATATACAAGGTTGATACATTATTTACAGGTATTTGGTGAATTTCTCGCATTTTCTTCTTCTTCTTCTTCTTCTTCTTCTTCTTCTTCTTCTTCTTCTTCTCATTCTTCTTATACACCTATATACATAGTATATCAAGAATATTTTCACTATGTGATTATGCATCTTTATACACTTTTATACAACTATATACATAATGTACCTCTTTGTATAAAATTGTATAACATTGTATAAAAGTGTATAAGCATCTCTGACGAAATTTTTGTACGATTTTCACTTGCAATTCTTGTATAAAACTAGTCCAAATCTCCAACAAATAACTTCAAATTTTGTATACAACCTACTTAGACTATTTCCAATAAGTTCAAACAATACCCACTCCAAATTTCTCACAAAATCATAATCGAAATTTAACAAGTTTAGCATTAAAGGAGATGAGATTTTAGGTTTCTCACGTCTATTTTTGCATTTTCCAGTTGTGATAGGTATGTATAAACCTGAAGATATACAAAATAAAAAATAAAAAAACAATTCAGAGAAGTATTGGTTATGGAAGAAGGCACGAATGATTGTTGACTGAATGGGGAACTGATTTTTGTTTTCAGTTTTGTTTGCATATGATTCTTTTTTATTAATTAAATTAAATATTTATGGGTGAAAAATGAGGAGAGAGCTACAATAGGGGTAGGAATGAATAAATGAGGTTGTTATAATTAGAGGGAATGGGAAAAGAAAAGTTCTTATTGATATTTGGCTACACATTTGCAAACTTGTAACTGGGCTAAAATAGTGCAAGGTCAAATTATGGAGTGCATTATTCTGTAATTTTGTCTAAATAAAAGGGTTCTATTGCATTGTAATTCATTCTAAATCAATAAGAATTCTCTCTATTTCTTTGAAATATTCTTCTTTTATTGTTTTATAACACTACCAAATTATTTTAAATACTTTTTGATCCTCTTTTATTTTCTAGAGCCATCAAAATATTTAATTTGCCTTCCTTCTGGAGTTGAGTAGGTTTTTTCATTATGACGTTGAAATTGATTTGAAAGGTAATACCAAAATGGTACATACCAAAACTAATATGATTAGAATTTTGTTTTCTTGGGTACGTAATAGTTATTTCACATTCTAAATCATTAGTCAATCAGATAGAGAAAAAGTGAAAACAAAAAATTGGTTATCATGTTAAAAGAAGGGTTATCGATTTTATGGCACATACAAATGTTATTTTAATTATACGACACTCATTTTAAGAAAAACAATAAGTACGACGTAAAAATCAAGGTGAAAATAAGTTAATGCTGTGAGTTTTGCAACAACAACAAAAAAAAAAAAAAAAAAAAAAAAGAAAAAAAAAAATGAAATTTCCCCAACAAAAATCAAGTTTTTCGACGCAAAATCAAATTTAATCGACCCCATGCGAATACCGAACACCGGATGAAAAACCAAAAGAACTCTTATTTCCCCACCCCCACCATAACCCCCTTAGAATCAACGTCAACCTCACAATCTTCCAAAAATCCATTGTATTTATTCCCCTTAGATTTTAGAGGCCTGTCTTTTTCCTTCTCTTTATAGGTACAATTTTTCTAAGATTTGAAATAAACCACACAATTTTAGAATGAAATCTCAACATAAAGACACGTACAATTGTCATTTGCCATACAAAAGAATGCCCATTTTGTGTTTGTGGTCAATGACGTGGTAACTATCACCCCACCAATTACAATCCTTTGCTTTATTTCCCACACATAAAATAACATTATTCCCCAACACAAGAATAGATTCTCTCTTTAGCTTAGCTCCAATTCTTGATTTTATGGAATAGCAAAGAAAAAAAAAACAAAAAAGAAAAACTATCATTTCTCCCTTCAACAATATTTCTTCGCAGCAACAACAACAACAACAACAAATCAACGATACATTTTCAATGACTAATCAACGCGAAAATTTATCCTTTTTGATACTATCCAAGAGTAGTACTCCTAACCCTAACGATGTCAAGATCGAGTCACAAAGGCAGAGTTTAGGAAAGAAAAACAAGGTGAAGAGTGAAGAAAACCACGAGTCAAAATCAACTTTTGACGAAGGGGATAAATTCAACGATGCAGAAGCCACGCAGGACAAACGATCAGTAGTCGAGGAATGTGCAAGTGGATATAACAAAGGCGAATCGTATGTGGAGGATAATGGACGTGAGAGATTGAAAAGACATCGGGTTGAAGTAGCTGGTCATGTATGGATTCCAGATATATGGGGTCAAGAGGAATTACTCAAAGATTGGATTGATTGTAGTGCTTTTGATGCTTCATTAATGAATAGTAATATAATGTCAGCTCGTACTGCTTTGGTTGAAGAAAGAAGAAGAGCCAATTCTAGTTGCAGATTAAGAATAGAAAATAGCTGTTGAAAAAGCTTCAAAAGTACTACAACCTTCTCATTTTCATAAAGATGAGTTATTTTTGGTTTTTATTTTGCTTTATTTTTTCATCTTAATAATTGTGTATTTCTACATGTTAATACCTAAAAGGAGTACATCATTGAGGACATTAATGATTCGGACACTGATATATATACTCAGAGGTAGATCCAGAATTAAACTTTATGGGTTCATCTTCTATGTTTTTTAGCGTTGAACCTATTATATTCTTAAAGTTGTGGGAGTTTATATATACTATTTTTGCAATTTTAATAAATTTTTATTCCGCTTCGAAAGTTATGAGTTCAATTGAACTCATCATTAATACACTACATATGCCCTTGCATATACTAATAAATTGCCTATTGCTTGGTAAATCTTTTAAATTCTTGAGCAGATCACTGAATATAATATGTCAATTGATACTGATGTTCTTGAACTGAGAGTCTATCGAAAACGATATTTCTACCTCATATGAGGTAGAGGTAAGGTTTTCGTACACCCTATCCTCTTCAGATCCAACTTGTGGAATAACACCGAATATGTTGTTGTCGATATTATTGATACTTGTATTAGATGTAATGAAGCGAGTAGGTATTTAAGTCTATTCTATCGTTTATGTCGAAGATCTCATCGTGATTAACTCGGGCTTTAGCAAGAACAACTGTAATTTAAGAGTCATATTCGTTGATAAGTTGTGAAGAGTTTAACCCAAAGCGATCTCTAATTAAGAGTGATCACATCAATGCATTAAGTAGGTTTTGAACAATTTAACTCAAAGCAACCTCTATTAAGGGTCACATCGATGTATTAAATAGGTTGTGAATTTGACCTAAAGCGGCCTTTCATTCCCTTGTTTTGTTATGGTACGCCCCTTTTCCTGACCCACAAGCCAACAACTTGGGACCACAAAACATTTTTTGTATTTTTTATTTTTCTAAGAGGTTCTTTTGAGTATGGGTGCCACTGTATTTCAACTTCTTTTCTTTTCCTAGAATAATTTCGTTATGATATATATTTTACTAATAACTTTTGGTATGTAAATGAAGTGGAAAAGAAACATAATCCAAAAAAAAAGGAGTGGAAAAAAGGAATTTCAATATCAATCTGAATTATTGGAGGATATTATAACTGAAAAAGATAGAAAAAGGAAAGAAGCTAAGAAAAAACCAAAATAGAAATTTCAACTTCTAACACAGATCACAGAATGTGGCTGCTTTAAGTTCAACTTGTCATATTACAATATTCATAAGAAAATATCATATAGAAATAAAGACCCCACGTAGAAATATGGCCCCCGCTTAATTAAGGTTTTTCAGAAATTTTGCAGATATTTTAATTTATTTTCTAGTATAACTGTAGTAGTGATATTTCTACATATGAATTAGACTGCCTCTAAACAAAATAGAAAAATAGAAAAAGAAAAAAAAAAGTATAGCATTCAGTCTAAGGCTTCAAAAGGCTCAAAATTACTACGTACGAATTATGTTTCTACATATTCGGAGAGTATATCGGGAATAGCTTCTCTTTCTCCAAGATAGGGGTAAGATCTGTAATCTTGTAATCTATATACACACTATCCTCTCCAAATTCCACTTATGAAATTGTACAAGGTTATTGTTGTTGTTGTAATGCATCAGTCAACGGAAAGTAAAGCAAAACTAAGGTCAACAAATATAGAAGGGAGCCTTGAAGCAACAGTAATATTGTCTCCATGTGAGTCTGTTGGGCACATGCCCATGTTGTCCAGCCAAAGGCCCAATGTCCTAATCCTATTCTCATTTGGTTTCCATCCCTATTTGGAATTGGATTCGGTTTATTCCTATTTTGAGTGGGTTTTGGCTTTAAGAGAAAGCACCACTCATGATCTATAAATAGGACAACCTTGGAGAATTATTCTATGCTCATTGATACAAGTCTTTGAAAGACTTAAGCACATAAGAGTGGATTAGAGAGAGCTTTCATCAAGAGAGAAGAGAGAAGAAAAGTATTTGTTTTGTTGCAGATTTTTATTCCGACCAGCCAACTTCAAATTACGTTTTCAAATTCGTTAACCGTTGGATCGGGCTGAAATTTTGACTGAGTGTTCGTAACATCTTGGTCATGTATTTCAACGGTGGAGATTGGATTTCAAGGCTCATAGCATCTGATTTCGAGCCTCGAACAGCAGCTTCATTTTTTTGGATTATACTCTTTCTTCAATTGATTAGTTGTTGCTATTGTTGCTCCGTATTTGGCCCTTGTTGTGTAGCCAATTTGGAGAACTTTTTTAACCCTCTTATTGTTATAGTGGAGTTTTTGGATCTTTGTGATCCCGTGGTTTTTACCTTCGATTTGAAAGGTTTTCCACGTTAAAATTTGGTGTTCTTTATCTTCTTTATTTTCGGGTTTGCCTCTTCTTCGACATAATAGTGGTATCAGAGCCTTGGTTATTTATCCGGGTTGTTACGGAATTGAGGCGAATATGAGCAAGATGGTATGTTTAAATGGGAGAAATTATAATGTTTGGAGAAGCAAGATGAAAGACTTGTTGTTCGTGAAGAAGATGCATCTACCTGTTTTTTCAGCTTATAAACCCGAGAGTATATCTGATGAAGATTGGGATTTCGAGCACCAACAACTATGTGGATATATACGGCAATGGGTTGAAGATAATGTTCGCAACCATATTGTGAACGAGATACATGCGAGATCATTGTGCGAAAAGCTAGAGACTCTTTATGCTTCAAAAACCGGGAACAACAAATTGTTTCTGCTAAAGCAATTGATGACCTTTAAATACAAGGAAGGCAGCCCTATCCTTGATCACATAAATGATTTTCAGGGCATCCTTGATCAACTATCTGGAATGGGAGTTAATTTTGATGATGAGATACAAGGACTTTGACTTCTTAATACTCTGTCAGACTCTTAGGAAACACTTCGTGTTTCTTTGACAAATTCAGCTCCTGGAGGTAAGGTGACCATGGAATATGCCAAGAGTGGTGTGTTGAACGAGGAAGTAAGGAGAATCTCAGGGTTCGTCCTCACAAGCAGATATCTTGGTTACAGAAGACCGGAGGAGAGATAGAACAAGAGGCTCAAGGAATAGAGGTAAAAGTAGAAGTAAAAGTCAAAAGGTCCAAAAAGTACTATAAATATTAACAATGCAAACCCACTGTGGCAAGAAAAGGACACGATCAAAAAGGGTT